GGATATTGTCTCATTTTCCCCAGGTGAGTGAGTAACTCTATGTACTAATTTAGATACTAGATCATTTGCAGATTTTTACTTCCTTTTAAAAAAAATCTAACTTGATGTTACATGTTAGAGAAAAGAAATTATATTAGGAAGTTTCAAAGTTTCACTTTACACCAGAGTCACCCAGGTCTAATCGTGATGCTTCTCAATTTAACATCTTCAGTGGTTCTCTGTGCCTTCGAAAATGAAACCCACTCTTTCATATTCCTAAAAAACTTTTCAACTTCCTCTCTTCCTTAAACCATCACCCCACATACCTCAGCTGAAATGCACAATTTTATAATCCTGATACAGTACGACATTTTTACACTTTCTACATTTAAACTAGTTTGCTTAGAATGCCTTTTTGTTCTCTCTCTTGTGAAGTATTTTTCCCACTCTATTCATCTTAAACCAGATAACCGCCTGGTTAGAGCTTACTTCCTGCAGCCTCTGTTGCAGTTTATGTTTGACTATTTCAGCCCTCACCACACAATTCACAGTTCTGCCTCTTTATTTCTCAATCTTCCTTCCCTAACACCAATAAGACAGTGATCTCTTGGAGGACAGAGACTTAATTTCTTTCTGTCTCCATGTCTTAGAGTGGGGCAGAAAGTGTTAGGAACCTCCAGTGTAGGATATCTCCCGCACTCCTCGAGGGAATGCTGTTAATTTGCCATTGTCATCGTCATCACATTTTAAAGATGAGGAAAGCATGGCTCAGAGAGTTGATCGCTCCTGCCCAGGTCATAGCTCTGTAAACAGATTTAGACTTGTATTCATAGGTTCTTTCTTAGACTTCATTCTGCCAAAACAAAACCAAATGGAACATTTGGAGAGTTGGTAATGAAATGAGGACTTAACCATATTTTCTTTTTTTTGTAGTTTTTGTTGGTTTTGTTTTGTTTTGTTTTTTTGGAGACAGGGTCTCACTGTGTAGTTGAGAATGACCTGAAAATCACTACGTAGCCCATGCTGGTCTCGAATTCACAGCGATCCTCCTGCCTGAGTTTCCTGAGTGCTGGCATGCACCACCACGCCCGGCAGGGACTTAACCATATTTTCAATCTAGTATATTATTATCACATTACAGAAATGTTGTGATATAGAATGAACTGACATTTCTCAAGTTGGGTGCCTGGGAAGTAGACTTAGCTTTCACACAGGAGATTGACTGGCAAGTACCCTCAGGAGCAACACTGTGAGGGAATGAAGGCATCGGGTTTGAAAGAGGGAGAAGAAAGGGTCATCCTGTCTTGTGGGGACCTGAAGGCTGGAGGCCTGTCACTGGGTAGTCCCCTCCTCTCAGGAAGTGTGCTTACTTAGGCAAGACAACACTGCTACTTTGAGAGCAAGCTCACCTTGGTCCTGCGTGCATCTGCACCTACACCTGGCATCTACACCAGGTGGGGTCTGCGATGGTGCTGTTATACACTATTAAGGGCGTTGACTTTTCAGTGAGGTTTTCTGAAAGGAACTGGAAAAGATACAGAGAACTCAACACATTCAGAGTAGCCCAGTTTATAAAACTACAGATACTTTGCTTCTTATCCTTGTATTTTCATGAAACTTTATTTAGTGTCGACATTTCAAAGGTGTTAAATTTTTTTAAAACTCTTCTAGTTGTTACCATTTGTGCAAGATGCTTTGTAATTAAAGAAATGAGAGCCAGGAATTCAGCTCAGTTGTTCCGTTGCCTGCCTCACAAGCACAAGGACCCAAGAACAATCCCCGGTACCAAAAATACACAT